CTAATTATTGGGAACTGGTTTATACCCATCACCAACTCCTTAAGTGAGTAAAATCAATTCCTTAAATGTTGAAATATGATTCTCTTTTAAGTCTTGCATTCTTTTGCAATGCCTCATGCTTTCTAAAAGTGTTAGGCATATGCTTTTAAATACACTGTTCTGCCTCAGGCCTTTAAAATAATGATAATAGATTCTTTCCATATTTCAATGGTCACTCAACTGAGTGGGAAGAAAAGTTAGTTTCTTCTAATATTGTCAAATAATTAAGCCCCTTTCTATCTCTGGAATCTAGATAGAAAATTCATTCCTTTTTTTCTCTCTCCCCCTCTCCCTCTCTTCCCCTCTCTCCCCCTCTCCCCCCCCCCCCCCCCCCCCCCCCTCCCCCCCTCTCTCTCTCTCTCACTCTCTCTCTCTCCCTGCCATTCTTTTACTCTGCTTCCGTCTCTTTTACTTTAGGTCTGAGTATAAATCTCAGAAATTGTTATCACCCTATGTTTCAAATTATTGAAAATTAAATAATATGCTAACCCCCAATTGTTTCTATAGGTATCAAGCCTGGCTCAAAGTGAGATCATTAATGGCAAAAATGTGGGATAGATTATTTAATAATATTTCTAGTGCTGAATGTAGACATCAGTTGAAAGAATATGGAGAATTTCCAAAGATGTAATTTAAACAAGGTACTAATGAGGATGTTGAGTAGTGAGATGGGTATCACGGCTCAACATGCAACTATGCCTTTTCTCTAAAAGGCCTCTTCTAGTAATGCGCATAAAATTTACCAGAGTAGAAGATGTAAAACTTACAGTTCAGGATAAAGAAAATATGTTTCAGCAAAGGGCCTGCTGGCCATTTATAACTTTGGCAAAATCACAGTCATCTGAGTTATATCAAAAGAAAAAGCCAGCAGCTGACTCACCTTAGTTATCTTTTCCAAGTACGCAATAGCCCTGCTTGTGATAAATTCTGTCCTGGAACTTTTATTTAAAGCATCTCTGAAGCCTTAAAAACTGTTTTAGCCTAGTGAATTGCACACAACTTATCCATGTTCTCTGAGTTCTGATGATAAACAATATGTGTTTACATTTGTGCAAAATTATAAAAAATATACTGAGGCCAAAATGCTCATTTTTTCCTATAGCTGTTCCTGCCTTAAAAACAGACAGGTGCTCAAGAAATAAAACCATGTCATGTTTGTCTTCATTTTCTTCTGATATAACTCAGCAATTGGCACTGTACCTGGCACAAGGTGGATACCGATCAAAGGGCTGTTCATGAATGGATTAAGGCTGAATTTATATTATTCATATATATGGACATATATGTTATTAATTGTCATATGTGCGTTTGTAGTGAATGAAGTATGGACTGAGATTTATGTGTGGAAATGTGGGTTCACATCTACAATGGAACAAACTTGGGATCCTAAATGAAGCCTTTCAATCCTCTGAACATTATACACTTAACCTCAAAGAGCCTGTCACTTGGTTATCTCTGCCTATCCAATGACTGGGATGATAAAAATAGTTTTTTAAAAGTGTGTTTTAAATAGTTATCATTTAGGCAAATTTGTAATGCTCAAAGGAAAGTGCTGTGAGAAGGTAATTGATTGTCAGAGCTAGTCTCAGATAGAGGAGGCAGGTTAATTTATACAAGGTACTCTGGAACTCCTGGGAAGAAGGCATCCAAATGCTTCCTGCTAAATGAGAGACTGATAAGGCTAAACCACAGTGACAGCCACAGAGACTCAGTAGCAGCAGAGGGCTACAGATAACTTGAAATAAAGTTATAAGTCTGGAGATAAATTGATCCAAAAATCAGCTCAAATATGTGAGTTTAGCAGAGCAATCCATGGAGGAATCTAGTGTTTCTGAAGTAAGAATTATTAGTAATAAAACTAGGTCTGCCTGAAGCCAGATAATTTTACTGTGTATGAACTGAAAGGCCTGGGCACTGAAAATTCTAATAGCCAGGATTTATGTCTCTTCTCATTTATCCTAACAAGCCAAGAATGTTTTCAGCTATCGTTTTGATGGTATCAGGTGTCTCTCCTTACCGGGTGTCTAACCAGCAATGATCCTTTCACTAGTGTGGATAGCATCTCACCTGCCTGCAGGACACTCTTCTGTAGAAAAGAATCAGTGAAAGATACGGTGGCCATTAGTTCTATTCCACTGAAGTCTTAATCTCCACCAAAGAGCTACCAACAGTGAATTGTGTCTATCAGCCACTTTGGGACCCAATAGAACCTGGAAAAATCTCCAAGTAAGGGACTAAAAGAACACAGACCTTCCCCTCATAGGGTCAGTTTGACCTTGAGGAGAATATAGCATGAGGCAAGGTGCTACACTACCATCCGTAGATGCTTCAAAATTAGGACATGGCAACTTCAACTGGTAGCCGAAAACCCTCCAATGCTGTAAGGCCAAAGTGGACTGGACTGCTCTCTCTTTTATTTATGATTTCTGGTCTCTATTGGAGTGGACTAGAACTGTGGAGGGGAATGAACTCACCTGCAGGACTTCCATTATTCACAATGGGAAATAAAATATATTAATTTGGGGACTGACTGGAGTGTTATTTGTCTACAAATAACATAAAGTTGCCAATTTAATGACAATATGGTGGTTTCCAAAGTTGGCCAACTTATTACATCTTATTACAAGAGCTACAAGGAAAACCAACTGTCTTTAAGTATTATGGTAGATTGGCTTTGTTAATGTCCCCATTGTTTCATACCTCCTGGCAACTATATACTGTGGTAGTGCTATCCTGCACTGATTTTTTCCTTGAACAGGTGGCTTGACTGAAGCAAGCTTTGCAAAAGCACTTGGGTATTTCCACTTTCTTCCTTGGACCCCTGGCATTACCATAAGAATGTGTTTGGGTTAACCTGCAGGAGGATGAGAGATATGCAGACTGAATCAAATGGTCCTTTTGAAGCCATGCTAGATCATTCAGTCCCAGCAAAACCCAAAATTGACATCAGATACATAAATAAGCCTGACCAAGATCAGCAGAACTACTAAGCTGAACCACACACTCATGAGAACCAGTAAGTTGTTATTTTAAACCACTGAGATTTGAAGTAGTTTGTTATACAATGGCAAATGAAAAATCATACACGCAGATTATAGTGATAATATATGAAGTTGTGAGTTAAAGAGAGCTGGTAGTGAGGAATATTTATTTCCAAATCTCTTTGTGTGAAAAAAAGACAAAACAAATGACATTAAAAAAATACTTCATGTATTTTCAAAGGCAACGTCTGTTTTGAATTTTTATTCTTTTCATAAATTTAAGAGTGTACCATAAATTATGAATAACTGAAGCTAATCTAATGAAATTAAGACTGTCTTATTCTCTGTTCAAAAGAGTTACTGTAGCCCAAAGGGGCAGTACCTCATGTTCCCAATCTCTTCATCTCCTTTTCAAATGAACAGATGGTATCTTACATTCTTCATGGACCCTGTTGCTTTTTAGCTATCATATCATAGTTAATGGCATGGTTTCTAGATCCAGAAACACAAGCTCTGGAGTGTTTCTTAACTTCTCAATTTCACTATCTATGAAATGGAACTAGTAATAGCAACTTTAAAAATTGGACATCTGACAAATTACTTCTAAAAGTAATTTGTTTCATTGGGTAATACTGCATAAGAATTACCAATATTTTAAAATTTTTTTTTTCATATCTTGATTTAATGCAGGCATTATATTTTAAAGCTAAGGAGGATACCATTCCAATTTTTGACAGAAGTACTCATGATGTTCCAGGGAAAGGAAGGAAGTCGTTGTACTTTTTAATGTGTCATCTCTTCAGTCCTTCCTTTGAGGACAGGGTCATACTTTTTTATTTATCCTGGTTGTTTTAATGGGAGGTCAATTTATCCACATTTTCTTGGTCTATACATTACTCATTACTCTTGCATGTGCTTTGATAAGGAAGCTGCAAGGGGCTAGAAGCAAACTGACTTGGAAAGTATGAGAGCTTTACTCAGTAAACAAATATAATTTGGGAATACAATTTTATGGGGTTAAAGTGAGGAAAATTTTTAATTCATTGTATTTTGTCTTAATATGGGCATTCATTTTGAGAATACCACAGCAGTTTTGATTCTTGCACTAAAAGACTATTTTCTTCCAGTTATATAATTAGTAATCGATAAGATAATTAACTATGACCAATGAGTAAGATTTCTCATATATGACCCTGTAGTAGCTCCTGACTTTACTTCTCCTGATTTTAGCATGAGATGAGGGAATTACTATCACTTCACAAAAAAAATAGAAAAAAATTGGCATTACTGAGTGTCCCTTGAGATCATTCTTATAAAATCAAATTTGTGATTCTTTCTGAAAATTTAGTGGCTAAGAGAGACTACAAAATGAGTCCCAAGTGAAAGACCAAGTAAAAATGGTCTTTCACTTATTCTAATGTCTGTCTCTCATCACCAATTATGGAACATATCCCTGGTTATCATGTTCCACCTTAGCTTGGTACGACTGCCTAAGCAACAAAAGCAATGCAAAGGAAATTGTATTTTTTCAGAATAAATCTCTCTACATTTAAAAAATCACTTTCAGTAGGCTCCAAATTGTATTAGAATGAGAAGGAATGGAATATCATTGACCATAAAAGATAATGTTATCCTAACTTGTTGTTGAAGATAAAGTGGAGCCTTAAGCATCTTAAGAGAGAAAATTGGTACAAGTGTGGCTCAGGAGAGCTTTTGTGTCTCAGTAGTTCTCTAGTCATTCCCATCACTTCTGTTGCACGTATGCATCATTTTCAGTGTTAGTCAAACATGGCTCCATTGGCTAACACAAAATTAATTACATGTATCCCGTATGTCTTCATTTGGGTTCCTGCATTACCAGACTCCAAGATAAGCATTTGACTGCAAGCAGCTTACCTGGGAGGTGATCCAGGAGGCATCCATAGGGAAGTGGGGAAGTAAGAGATGGAGGAGAAAGAAGTCAATAAATGGTATGCTATCTGGCAAATAACCTTTGTGAGTTTATTGAAAAATCAATTTTGCTGAAGAACTCTAGGAGACAGTATAAAACACCTGCTCAAGCGTTACCCCAACTGAGGAGCAAGACATTTATCACATACCAATTCCTTCAATCATTGATTGAGGCTTTTCTTTATGGGCATTATTTTCCTGTCATTTTCAGATCACCATATACATGGGCAGTGAAGCAGAAAGGACATCAGCAGCTTTGGAGAACATTCTCCAGCAAAGTGATGCAGATACTTGCAACTGAAAATAGACCAGTGGACACAGAAGTGATAAGATCTGAAGGCTGTAGACAGGAAACTGAAGACATCTACTCCATAATCCAAACAGTTCTGTCCTAGCCTGTCCTAGAATAAGTACAAGTGAAATTATGATGTAGTTCACTAAGAATTTAATCACATCAGAGTTCTCTTATTAGTGATCCCAAAACTCTTGCAAACACTTCTATCACATAAAAGTGTTGTAACGTATTTTAACTATATGCTTTCTCTTCCCATTAGATCTTATATTACATAAAAGAATGTATCTTATTCTAAAGTTCCTTTGTATTTTGTTCTAGTTCCTACTTTTTAACTAGTAACCACAATTCCTATTTATCTGGAGTAGTCTTGATTTTTTCTATTTGCCCTAAAACCATTTCAAGACTTCACAAAATCAGTGTATGAAACAAGAATAAACCACAACTTACTTCAGAAGTCACTTTCAAAATTGCACACATCAGTGTCCATTAACATCTTAACTCTTTCTACCTCAGTTTATATCATTATTAAAGAAATTCCATGTAGTGGGGGTGCTCTGGGTAGGTCTAATTAATACATTGAGCATAAGTAGTAGTAAACTTACACAGCTGAACACAAGTTCCACTTCAGATATCAGCTGTCCTGAGAAAAGGTACACCTCTCTTTGCAAATTTTTAAGACTCTTGTTGTCTACAAATAAAATCCAGACTCCTTTAGCTAAGCATTCCAAGCAATTTAGACTCCCACTTGAGTCTGTGTTGGAAATCTTGTTCTCAAGATTTTTCCCTACCCCAAACTAAAGATGGAATCAAATTCCTGTCCCTTTTGTCACCTGGCTTGGCTGATTGCTTTCTGACCCTTGTGTCTTTGCTCCACTAAATCTACAAAAATTTTCTCACATAGAACCCTTTTTTCAAAATCCTACTCAAATAATATTTACTTTGAAAATTTTTTCATGAACCCATGACAGATTGAATTTATCCTGAGTCTACTCTTAATTCCCAAGTGAATATGTCCCTTCCTTAAGCATTCAAATCTTGTAGTTCATATTTCAGTCACTTTGGTAGAGAGATTGCGTCAAAGGCCCCAGTGCTTTGCACCCTTCAGTAGCCAAGCTCTTTGCCTTATAACCTTGCTGTATCCTGCAATTCTGACTCTGGAAATGACCATGTCGCTTGTTTTGACCAATGGGATATTAGTCAAAGTGACATAAGTAGAAAATTTCCTGCCAAAGAATGAAATATACCCAAGTTACATCAACCGAGGGTATCTGCCAACTGCCAGCTCCCCTCTGCCCCCTGCCCCAATCCATAAAAGCAGGCCCCACCAAGATCCACAGAGCAACCCTAGCAACCCATAGCTGACCTCAGACACATGAACAAGTCCAGATGGGAGCAAATGAGTCCAGCCAAGATCATCCGAAACCATGAGCTTGTGAACTAAATAAATGCTTATTGTTGCATGCTACCAAGATTTATGATTATCATAGTTCAGCATTGTCTGGCAATAAATAGCTGATGAACCTACCAGACTGTAAGCATCTTCATGCCACAGCCATGCTCTTTTTTTTACTATTGTTCCCACAGTAGTTTTCGGATTTCCCTGCCTACATGAGGTACTTTTAAAAAGTCTGTGGAGTGAAAGAATGTTTTTCCAGTTTAGAATGCTACTTTGTTCTTTACTTTCCCATAAAACCCTCCCTGACTGCCTAACCTCAAGAAATGTATCTCCTTTAAATTTGCATTGTATTTATTGTCTATACCAGCAATTTGCAATAAGCTCTTCATATCTCTTATTATTTATATACTCTCTCATCCATTTCTGCACTCTAATGAATAAATTTGTATATAAATTTCTGCAACCCAGTAGAATGTACTTAGTAGACATGCAAAACATTAACTTGTCTTACTGTAAATAAAGGAAATAGTTGTTTTCATATTTAAGGTTTAACATGTAAGTTTAACACATAAGAATGGCAAATTTACTTGTTCTTCATCTTTATTAAAAGAGTTCACATCCTTAGAAAATAAGAAAAAGCAGCATAAAATCAAATCAAGTAGCAGGGTAAACTTTTCTATGAGAAACAAAATAATTTTGAAAAGAATTCACAGATATATTTTTGAGCTATGCTTTATTCATTTAAAGCTTCTAAAATAATGAGTCTGCAATTTATTCACTGAATTGTCCTGTGTATGTAGCCAGTTAAAATAGAAAATATTTTTCTACTTAAATCTTATTATTTCGTATAAAGTTTTACATCCCAGTGGAAGGAAATTATTTTCTCTAAATTTAGAATCATTTGATGGCTTTCTTGCCTTGGTTTCCATATGGGGAAACAGTGACTCTGAAGGTCTCTATCTCAGGTGATGCAGTTGAACATGCAACGTTATAGCTCTCAGAAAAAAATAAAGGGACATAAGTCTCTCTACACCCTCCTCCAGTGACGGGTGCTATGGGAACAAGTACTGGATGATTGTTGACCTTGGAGCCTGGAAATACTGTGGCCTGTCAGGAGCCATAAACTGTGGAATACCATCCTGATAGCTTCAGTCAACCACGTGGTGGTTTACACAGTTAGGATGGTTTGGGCTCACTCTTAATATCCAAAGCCAAAGTTAAAATATGCATGCCTCAATATTTTTCAGATATTTTAAACACCACATTCAATCAGCTTGTTTTTAAAGTCTGTGAAGCTCTAGTCACATGATTGACTTTTGCTCAAAGAAATATCACAGTGGAGCCTCATCTACACTACACTCTTGGTGGTTTATTTTTGAAGAGATTTGTTTATAACTTGCAGTGTTCAGTAAAGTGAGAAATAAATTTAGAACGACAGCAAAGTGAGAAGTTTAAACTTTGAACTACAGTAAAGTGAGAAATAAACTTTGACCTTCAGTAGAGTGAGAAGTAAACTCTGCATTTCATTTCTTTAAGCATGACCATGCAATGTTTTTTTTAATGCAACCATCACATATAGACATGGTGTGCCTGGAATATATACAGCATGGTGTTAAAAATAAAAATGCATACAAAACATCTTATTCATATGTTTTAAAAAATTAAGCCAATACTGCAAATAAAATCTTGGAGCTCTAGTGTATAAAAAGATTCAAGATCTAATCTCAAGGTTGTGGAATACATAATGGAACGGAACAGATTATGCTGTGAATGTATGACTAACATTGAAACACAGATATAAATTCTTTTCATCTGGAACACACTGTAGAGGAAGTTTTTCATGCATAACAATTTTAGCAAGCTACCTTATTTGTAATTTTATTTTATGATTTCCCCTACTGGAACCTTTTCAAGGAAACTAGTCAGTGCTGAGAAAAATAAAAATCTGTTCATTTTATTTTTATTTTTTTTTCTCTCCACACAGACAGTTTTACTTAAAACATACTTTCTCAGGAATTTCTATAGATATTTAGCTTTCTTCATGTTCTCTCAGAGGAAAGGGACATATTTCAAGGCATCTGCAAACTCTATAAATACAATGAAACAGAACCCTATTGCACAGAAATTTTGCTCATCCAAGTTAAGAATATTTTTTAAATTCTGGATTTCTTCCAGAGGGTTATTCTGAAACATTTTGCCTTATTTCAGTGAAATTATAGTGTTTTGGGTAACTTGTGAATCTTGATATTCTGGCAGGAATTTGTCTTATCAAAGTGAGGAATTGTATTCATCAAAGTAGCAGAAAATAAGCAACAATAACAATGAATTTTCAAATTAAGATTTATAACACACAGATGTCATAGTTCAAATAAGGTCAAAACATGTCCAAGTATGATTTTCAAATACAAATTTACAAACATGTTAGTAGTTAACATTTTGGATTTTAATGATCAGTTGAAGAAAAGCATGTACTGTATTTGCTTCTAATCCTGGGAACTTTTCTGGGACTAAGAGAAAATACCAGTCAGTTTTAACAGTGTGAGCCAGCTAACATTATATAAGGGAATTTCTCACAATGATGAAGATCCTCAATGCCATCTAGATTTAATTATGTTAGATTCCAGAATGAAATTCCAAGACGAAATAATAGTTAGAAGTAACAGTGGGATTTATTTTTTAAAATGCCTTTTATATTTTCACAATGCAGCCCACTGAGAGCAAGATCTATTTTTCAAAGATGGAAGTAAAGAAGCAGAAATGAGCCAAAACCTATTAATACAATGAGTACATCCAAATTTTAGCAGTGACAGCAGAGCTAGTTCACTCAGAGGTTAGTTAAATAATTATTTTAAGGATTCACTGTGCTTTCTGGGAAAATGAACTGTGCAATGTCAAAAGCTCTCATCATGTGAAAAATTAAAGCAGTTATGAACATGAATTAAATTCTATTCATAAAATACAGGCTTCACTTACTGAATTACAGAGGCACTTTAAATGTTTATTGAGCATTTTGCAGTTAGCAGAGTTATGCTGAAATCCTAATACCCACTTATCTCTATGAGACAGGTGTCTCTTGGCCTATGGCAATTGCCAAGCCTAATGCAGGTTGTATATTACAATAATGGGTATGTTTAGCTGTAGTTGTCCTTGACAAGGGGAAAGAGAAAGTAAATACATAATAAAGTTGCTGTGAATTTTGGAGGGGAAGTTATTTTCTGGATAGTCATTAAATTTCTTGAGATTTTCAGTCTGTTGTGCATACTGCTACATTCCAGTGCTAGAATTGTGCCTGAAACATAGTAAGAGATTTTAAAATATATATTTTTGAATGAATAAATTATAGTAATACAAAGAGTTGACAAAAGAATGGCGTAAGAAGACCCATTAAATGTATGTCTCATTTTTAAGATCACTTTTTTTCAATTTTAAGGGTATTAAAAATACAGATGTAGATTAATTATTATGCTTTCACTTAATTTCTCTCTTATTATGGTGCTGATGGTTCCTCATTTAGATTGGGCTGGAGTGGAGATGCCAAGAAAGAGAATCTATGTAGACATAGAAAGATCTATGTATTAAATCTATGTGTTCTAGTCTTCTATCGTGCCTGCAATCTTTACAGATTATTAATATATCATTTCATTGTCCAGACATGTTTGTCTTGTAAATTAAGCCCGCTGTTGTTACTGTTTGTCTTTCTTTTCTCTCCTCTCATTTATCTTTGCTCCTACAAATGTTTCAGGTATAGTGAAAATTTCTTCCAGTTTTGGTTTTCCATTACTTTTAATTGCTATGCGTGTCATGTTAACAAACGCAAAAGGATTTCATTATCAACATTAAAAAATTTCAAACTAGACTCACCCTTCTCTTCCTAAATTTGGTCCTCATCCAGTCCTAGTAATACTTTCTAGAATTAGAAAGTACTAGTATTAGCTTCAATTCTCTTCATTCAGTAGGTCATCAAGTTCGTTTCAAAAATATACTTCAAATGAATCATCTCGTTTGCCTTTCTCTATCATTACCCATAGTCAGGCTCTCATCTTATACCAACTCTTCTCTTGCAGTTTAAAACTTTGTCACTCCTAACCCAAATGCCACTTCATCTATTATGTGCAAGATTCCTAAAGTAACCTTCCCAGAATATGTACGTGTCATTCCTCATTTCTCAATTCAGAATCATTTCACAAGTTCCTAAGGGCTACAGAACAAATTCAGCGTGAAGTCAAGACCCCTCATAAACTTGCTCCCTCACACCTTTGCAGCCTTCATCCCTATACTTGCCTACTACACACCTGTATTTCCAGACTGCATTATTCCTTGCACCTAACATGTGCAATATTGTATCTGTTCTTTTATTGCTATTATTCCAGCTGCTTGTTTTGCCTTTGACTCCATTAAATCTTTCTTGTCCTTTAACATTGGGATCAGATACAAAGTTTTCGTATTAACATTCCACCATGCTGATTCCTGTTCCTTCTAGCTATGCATTGACCTAATTCAGGCCAGACTCCACTTAATGACTCAATTGATACATAGTGTTGATAAATTGTAAAAATAGGCCTCAGATGAATTGCACTGAATATAACAAAATGCATTTTACCTATGTTCAAAAGTATGAATTCACAGGCCAAAGATGAAAATATCTAGTTCAAAAAAGTTTGTCAATAATCAAACCTAATGTGCATAGAAGCTGTTGAAGATGAAGCCTTATTTAATGTCATTATGTTGATTCTTACTTCGGTGTTCAACACTGAATTTATAATTTAAAATAAAAAGGGTGCAGCCTCTGAAGTTATTTTGATTCATTTATTTCTGTTCCAGTGCCATTTTTTTTTTCTGTTGGTTCTATCAAAGTGATTCGTCTTTTGTTTTCACCCAGTAGTGCTTCTGGATTTCTTCAAATGGAATATTTAGTACCAAAGATTCCATCATATTTTGAGCCTGTTCTTTGTTTATCTCATAAAGTAAAGATAATAATACACAATTTTATTTTAGGTTTTACTCTCTGCTTGGCATCATATTAAGTATTTTCACAAGGACACTTTCATGCAGTCCTGTCCCACCCTGTGATGTGGGTATTATTATTATTTCCATTTATAATTCCCACAACCAGTTTTGAAATTACTGATAAGCTATTTTTCAGAAATAAACACTTAGTTGCCAGCAAAAATGTAAGGTGACAAACTTTATTAATCGTCAAAGGAGGCCAGGTGCAGTGCCTCA